GAGGTAGACGACAGGTCTTGATGAGATGAAGGACTATTAGAGGTAGACGACAGGTCTTGATGAGATGAAGGACTATTAGAGGTAGACGACAGGTCTTGATGAGATGTAGGACTATTAGAGGTAGACGACAGGTCTTGATGAGATGTAATTTTAAGCAATTGGAGCGCCCTTCGTGGTGCTGAAAGGACCGCGCCAGGATCACGCTATAATAATAATATGCCATTTAGCAGACGCTTTTATCCAAAGCGACTTACAGTCATGTGTGCATACATTTCTACGTATGGGTGGTCCCGGGGATCGAACCCACTACCCTGGCGTTACAAGCGCCGCGCTCTACCAATTGAGCTACAGAGGACCATGATGTTAAAGAAGTTGAACCAACTTGTGGTGCTGAACGACAGCTGCACATTCGGACAGTTCAGGAACAAACAACAATAATAAGCAGTAGGCTATAACCTAATTGGCCTACCACTACGTGGTATAGCTATTTGTAGGCTATAACCTAATGTAAATGCAAATACATACAGAACGTATTCAGACCCCTTGACTTTTTCCTAATTTTGTTACGTTACAGCCTTATTCTAAAATGGATTAAATAAAACAATTTCCTCAGCAATCTACACACAATACCCCATAATGACAAAGTGAAAACAGGTTTTTAGTCATTTTTGCAAATGTATTAAAACATTTAAACAGAAATACCTTATTGAGCATCACTACAGACCCTGGTTCGTTCCCAGGCTGTATCACAACCGGCTGTGATCGGGAGTCCCATAGGGCAGCGCACAATTGGCCCAGTGTCGTCCGGGTTAGGGGAGGGTTTGGCTGGGTGGGGGGGGCTTTACTTGACTCATCGCTCTCTAGCGACTCCTTGTGGCGGGCTGGCCGCCTGCAGGCTGACCTCGGTCGTCAGGTGAACGGTGTGTTTCCGCTGACACATTGGTACGGCTGGCTTCCGTGTTAAGCCGGCGGGTGTTAAGAAGCGCGGTATGGCGGGTCATGTTTCGGAGGACACATGACTCGACCTTCGGATGAGACAAGATCGAAATTGAGGAGAAAAAAGGGGGTAAAAAAAAATTATAATACAAATTGAGCTCAGGTGCATCCTGTTTCCATTGATAATCCTTGAGATTATTTGGAAAGGTACACACCTGTCTATATAAGGTCCCACAGTTGACAGTGCATGTCAGAGCAAAAACCAGGCCATGAGGTCGAAAAAAAAAAAACCAGGCGCAGTGCTTGAGGCGTCACTACAGACCCGTGTTCGATCCCAGGCTGTGTCACAGCCGGCCGCGACCGGGAGACCCATGAGGCGGTGCACAATTAGCCCAGCGTCGTCCGGGTTAGGGGAGGGTTTGGCCGGCCGGGATGTCCTTGTCCCATCGCGCTCTAGCGACTCCTCCTGGCGGGCCAGGCGCCTGCAAGCTGACTTCGGTTGCCAGTTGGAGGGTGTTTCATCCAACACATTGGTGCGGCTGGCTTCCGGGTTAAGCGAGCAGTGTGTCAAGAAGCAGTGCGGCTTGGCAGGGTGGTGTTTCAGAGGACGCATGGCTCTCGACCTTCACCTCTCCCGAGTCCGTAGGGGAGTTGCAGCGATGGGACAAGACTGTAACTACCAATTGGATATCACGAAATTGGGGAGAAAAAGGGTAAAAGTACAAAAAAATAATAATACTGTTGACCAATCACCGACGAAGGGGCGTAGACTTCGGCTCTGAACTTCGGCTTGCCTCCAGAAAAAAATGTCATAAAATATGCACAAACTCTACCGAACTGTTTCGGCTGGGAAGCATGCGGACGCCTTTACACCTATCCAATCCTCTCAGATCTACAGAAGTGCCTAGGGGCTGATTTGAGATTCAGGGTTAATATTTTTAGCCAAAACTAGGCCTCTTGTCTAACTGAAATTAAAAATGATTCTCTCTGTTTCTCACTCCATGGTTTTCTCAGGACTGCTGTTAATGTCTCTGGGAACCTTGTACTTAGTTAGCCTTTGCCTCCTTGTATGATAATATGTGTGTGGTATTTAATTTGGGCCTTTGTTTGTAAAATATTGATGAACCTAATAAAGAAAAAATATATATATTTCTTGAACGTGTCACAGGCTGCGTTTAGACAGGCAGCCCAATTCTGAGATATTTTTTCACTAATTGGTATTTTGACCAATCAGATCCGATGTGAAAAGATATGACGTGATTGGTCAAAAGACCAATTACTGGAAAAAAAATATCAGTATTGGGCTGCCTGTCTAAACGCAGCCGTACGTGTTTCTGATACGATACAATAACTTAGTCCATTTTAAATGGAAATTAATTTTGTATGGTCAGACAGAAGATGAGGCGATACACCCCACTCGCTGTTTGTTTTTTTATTTTCTGGTTCAATGAAAGTCAATGAACGAAGTATAATATGACATTTAGCAGACGCTTTTATCCAAAGCGACTTACAGTCATGCGTGAATACATTTCTTTTTGTGTATGGGTGGTCCCGGGGATCGAACTCACTATCTTGTAGTTACAAGAGCCGTGCTCTACTAGCTGAGCTACAGAGGACCACCCATAAGTAGACCAGTACCCATAAGTAGACCAGTACCCAGCACTGGTTGTTGTGCATTTTTTGCCACCAGGGAGCAGAATAGAGTCATGAATTTGATAAGCGTTGTACAGATTTTTATATGCGCTCATTGCGCTGAAGCGCATTGATGGCCTCAATTATCATGGGGAGACTACATCAACATGGCCAAAGAAGATACTTACTTATGGATATGTAGGCTTATTCACAATTAATAAAAAGCGTTATTGCGTAAACATGGCATGTTTATGGTTGAAATGATGATATAAATGTGGAATACAAAGACATTTATAATCTTACGAAATACATTGATCACCGATGGATATGTATCAATGTTGTTGATGGTGTTGGTTAGTAGGCTATATGCTCTGCTATGAAAAACAGCTTCACATAGCAAGCTACAGTGACAATTGATTCTATAAACACTATTCATAGTGTATAGCTGGCTAGTTCACCTTGCTGTCAGACGAGCACCGTGATAAGAATTAACCAACTCGAATGTTGCAAAAGCCTAATAAACGTTGGCTAATAAAAACGGTGAAAGAGGCACCACTTTTCAAGTAGGGCGGGCCTTGTAGCTATCAAGCCTTGGATGGTTTTCCCCATGCGGAGGCAGGCAGGGAGGTGAGGCCCCGTCATTTACCTATTACACTGGCCTCGCTGCTCTTCCAATCACAACATAGGATACCACGTCTACAGGCATTATTTGCATTTCTACCGAAAGTTTATTATAGAAAACTAAATGGTCATGTAAACTGGATTGCGTAGGAGAGAAAACGAGTGGAAAAGCACGGACACATTGGAAAGGACTGGAGGATGGACAACTCGAAAGCGCAAATGGTGAGTTTTGATCGAGTCAGCTCGCGGCTGGCTGACTTTCATTTGGCACCGTGCCCCATGTTAGTTAGACACTGTAATAAAAAATTGGGCAACAACGGACGTGGAAGTGAAATGTTGTTGTTTTACACTTTTGAACTATATTTTATAAACTATGATGGGACAACATTGTGTAACCTAGTCGACGAATTGCTTACTTTATTCCTCGACGTATTTTAACATTGTTGAGGGACACTATGGAACATGTTAAACGACTGTTGTACACGTCATGCGTTTTGTTTTACCATCTGCCACCGGGCAGAAGAGACTACAATGTTTCACATTTAGAAATAGTTTTAGATGAATACATTGTAGTCGGTAGTATCTCGTAAAATAAACATTCGATTACAAGTTTCCTATTCACCTTTCAACAGTTAGTAAATCAATCATATGTATATACATCTGTTGGCATTGTTTTACTGTAATTTGACCACGCGTGAGAATTTTTTTTTTTTCTCAACAAAACATTTGAGCCACTTCAAGTGCCAGTATATCCCCCCAAAAAGAAAATAAGGACTACAAATGGTAATTTCGATAATGGCCTATTTTATGTAAAGAATTTGGTTTAATAAAGCATATTTAATCATATTTGCCCTAATACATAGTGCTAGGTAACGCCCCTGCTTTTCAAAGCAAAATGCAGCCCCTTGCACGCTTTTAAAAATAACTTAACATGCAGAAAAATAAAACAAAAGCCAATTATAGGAAGGTTGTTGACTCTTTCACTGCCGCCATTTTCTTTCAGGTTAACCGAATATGTTCACAGCTGAGCTAATATTGTGTAGGTTAAATTCGTCTAAGGGCTGTTCTTAGTCAAGACGCAACGCGTAGTGCCTGGATACAGCCCTTAGCCTTGGCCATATACCACAAACCCACTAAGTGCCTTATTACTATTATAAACAGGTTACCAACGTAATTTAAATAAATGTTTTGTCATGCCAGTGGTATATGGTCAGATATACCACGGCTGTCAGCCAATCAGCATTCAGGGCTCAAACAACCCAGTTTATAAATATCATAGTGCCCTGTAACACCCATGCATTGACTACATACTGTACAAATCTACAAATAAGATATTATATCTTTGGAAAAAATCTGAATGTATCTGTATTCATTGTTTTTTTTCTCTAAGCCAGGGGTATTCAACTCTTACGCTACGAGGTCCAAAGCCTGCTGGTTTTCTGTTCTACCTGATAATTAATTGCACCCACCTGGTTGTCCCAGGTCTAATTCAGTCCCTGATTAGAGGGGAACAATGAAAACATAGAGGAACTGGCTTCAAGGTCCAGAGTTGAGTTTCAAGGCTCTCTAGGTTATACATTACTCAAAATAACAAAAAATTAAATCTCAGGAAAAAAACACAATGTATATTTTTGTACAATATTTTAATTCTATACATTTCTCTGTGGTAAAAAAATAAAATTGTGTCCTTGTACAATGTATTTTTCTCTCTACGTTTCATTCCTCTCTTCCCTCTACAGCCCAAGCTATCTCAGGAGGCAGACGGTGGTCTGGTTCTGGGTAGCCCTGTTTGTGTCAGACTAGAAGCTGTGATGGAGCAGCTCCAGAGACAACAGGAGGCCAAGCTGGAGATGGACCGGCAGGAGAAACACCTCCGCCAGGCCCAGAAGATGTTCGCTAAACACGTAGCCGCGGCCCGGGTCACTGGAGCCCCCCTGGACTCTGCCTTCCTGGCCAAACGGGTAGAAGGAACCGGGACAGGAAGGACTCCTCAGATGGGTCAGCAACAGACAGAGGCTGGTGGCCATAACAGCAACAGCAACACCAACACTGGGAGCTGTGTGGATAGGGGGAACGAGAACGGAGAAGAGGGACTGGGAGGTGACGGGTCGGAGGAGGAGGAGGAGGAAGAGGAAGAAGAAAGGATGGAGGGTGAAGAAGAGGATGATAGAATGGAGCATGGCCACATGACGAAGATGTCTCCCCTCCAGCAGGAGCGTTCCTTGTCATCTTTTCCTCCGTATTGTACCTCCCCGTCAGCGGCTGCCAAACACAGAGCCGCTTCCCCTCCTATGAATCTAAAGCGAGGGTCTGGGGAGAAGGACCTGTCTACCGCAGAACAACGCTTCACATCACCCAATGGATTTGGAGATTGGAGCTTTGATGACGGACCATTTAAGCAAGTAAGTTGAATTTCACTGCTCAACCCCTACCCCTCTATAAGATGAAATTTGAAATGTTTTTTTATTTTTTATTGCAGAAAGCCTGGAGTATGTTCTTCTTTTCACTTTAAGGGAATTGGTTTCTTCAGGGAAGGGGAACCTTGAATGAGGAGACTTGTGGTGTTTTACTGAGAATGTGCTTTAGGTGTCCCATGTGCAGCAGACAGAATTGAATCCACACACTTTTTGACATTGCTCCAACAGTTATCATGGACTTTTTCCAATTGGTCTCGTGATTTCATTTAATTTGAACTATAATATCACAGCGGTTTCCTATGTTAGTGAAAAACACAGGCTATTGTCTACTGTTGGCCTGCTGCCAAATGCTATGTAGTCACTTTCGATTATTGGCTCCCTATGATTCCCTACTGTTTAATTGCATTGAATAATGCTTCACAGTGAGAGGAAGAAAAGCGGGGAACTTTTTCAGTTTTTCTTCCTTCCGTTGCATTTTGTTTCGTTTCATCCCTTTTTTTCCCTCACTGTTTACCTACTCATGCTGAAAGTTAAGGACCCGGACGCTGGCACACTGCCACCTCTTCTCCGGCAGCCCGTGGTTCGCTCCCGCTGCTAGAATAATATACATTAGAAACCGGGTGGTTTGAGCCCTGAATGCTGATTGGCTGACAGCCGTGGTATATCAGACCGTATACCACAGGTATGACAAAACATTTTTATTTTTACTGCTCTAATTACATTGGTAACCAGTTTATAATAGCATTAAGGCACCTCGGGGGTTTGTGATATATGGCCAATATACCACGGTGCGTTGCGTCGTGCCTAAGAACAGCCCTTAGCCGTGGTATATTGGCCATATACCACACCCCGTCGGGCATTATTGACTTACAGTAGACTAGAGTGCATAGAGACTCATGTTTTTTTTTTTTTTATGTCTCTTGACAGACTGTTAACATAAATCGTATAGCTGCAGCACACGGTGGATTTGGTTCTGAGATTATTATTTTTTTAGTAGGGGTCCTTGTTCGACATGAACCCATGACTGTGGCGTTGCTTGTAGCATGTTCTTACCAAATGAACCACACCGACAGAACCGCACTGCCTCTGGCCCATCAGCCTCCTGCCTCCTGCCTCCTGCCTCCTTCACATGTGTCGTCCTGGCAGCTAGCCCACGGGAGGGGAGTTTATTCAGCCGGATGCTCCAGGGTTTTCCCCACTTTCTCCTTTCTCCCCGTGTGACTTCTTGGATGCGTCCCAAATGGCACCCTATTCGTTATAAAGTGCACTACTTTTTGATGAGCCCTGGGGCCTCATTTATCGTGAATACATTTCTCAGAAAATTCTGGCATACGTGGTAAATTCTAGGATTTGTGTGCGCAACAAATGTATTGGGATTTATCAAACCGTCGCACGCAACATATTCACTTGTTTTCATTGATAAATCAGATAAATATAATATGTGTGCGCCCGTGAACGAGCGTTACAACCCTGCCTGGAAAACGCCCTCCATTCACCTTTTACGGTAGCAAAAAAACGCCATCATTTGCTGTATGATTTGGAAATGTTGGAGCTGGGCCATGTCTGTTTCTAAACGAAAGTGGAATATCAAGTTTGATCCCATTTCTGTAGAGGTCTGGGCAGAATGTGTTAAGCTTTTGTAGTGACTTTCAAACTACACTGAACAAAAATATAAAACGCAACATGCAACAATTTCAAAGGTTTTACTGAGTTACAGTTCATATAAGGAAATCAGTCAATTTTAAATAAATTCATTAGGCCCTTATCTATGGATTTCACATGATTGGGAATACAGATATGCATCTGTTGATCACAGATATCCCCTGCCAAAAAAAGTAGGGGCGTGGATCAGAAAACCAGTCAGTATCTGGTGTGACCACCATTTGCCTCATGCAGCGCGACACATCTCCTTCGCATAGAGTTGATTAGGCTGGTGATTGTGGCCTGTGGAATGTTGTCCCACTCCTCTTCAATGGCTGTGTGAAGTTGCTGGATATTGGCAGGAGCTGGAACACGCTGTCGTACACGTCGATCCAGAGCATCCCAAACATGCTCAATGGGTGACATGTCTGGTGAGTATGCAGGCCATGGAAGAACTGGGACATTTTCAGCTTCCGGGAAATGTGTAGAGATTCTTGCTGAAACATGAGGTGATGGTGGCGGATGAATGGCACGACAATGGGCCTCAGGATCTCGTCCCGGTATCTCTGTGCATTCAAATTGCCATCGATAAAATGCTATTGTGTTCGTTGTCCGTAGCTTATGCCTGCCCATACCATAACCCCATCGCCACCATGGGGCACTCTGTTCACAATGTTGGCATCAGCAAACCACTTGCCCGGTACGGTTGAAACCGGGATTCATCCGTGAAGAGCACACTTCTCCAGCGTGCCAGTGGCCATTGAAGGTGAGCATTTGCCCACTGAAGTCGGTTACGACGCCTATCTGCAGTCAGGTCAAGACCCTGGTGAGGACAAGAGCATGCAGATGAGCGAGCATGCAGATGAGCTTCCCTGAGACGGTTTCTGACAGTTTGTGCAGAAATTGTTCGGTTGTGCAAACCCACAGTTTCATCCGCTGTCCGGGTGGCTGGTCTCAGACGATCCCACAGGTTAAGACGGATGTGGGTCCTGGGCTGTCGTGGTTACACGTGGTCTGCGGTTGTGAGGCTGGTTGGACGTACTGCCAAATTATCTAAAACAACATTAGAGGCGGCTTATGGTAGAGAAATTAACATTCAATTCTCTGGCAACAGCTCTGGTGGACATTACTGCAGTCAGCATGCCAATTGCACGCTCCCTCAAAACCTTAGACATCTGTGGCATTGTGTTGTGTGACAAAACTGCACATTTTAGTGGCCTTTTATTGTCCCCAGCACAAGGTGCACCTGTGTAATGATCATGCTGTTTAATCAGCTTATTGATATGCCACACCTGTCAGGTGGATTGATTATATTGGCAAAGGAGAAATGCTCACTAAAAGGGATGTAAACACATTTGTGCACAAAAACATTTAGAGAAATAAGCTTTTTGTGCGAATGGAACATTTCTGGTATCTTTTATTTCAGCTCATGAAACATGGGACCAACACTTTACATGTTGCGTTTTATATTTTTGTTTAGTATAAAAAAATGCAATGCCGCCTATAAGCGAGTTTTAAACACTGGCCGCGCATTCTACAAGATTGTCTATCCGAACAATTGAAATAAACGCTTCAGCCCTTAAGACGTATTGTTGTTCAATATTGTGTTCATCAGTACATGATGTTTTATATTCTGTAGGGTCTATGATGTCATGCTCCTTCCACACAGCGGAAACTGTAGCCTACCCATACTGTCATCATCAAAACACTAAGCGGATTTAACTTCTTTAGGAAAACAGCCCCTAATGTTGGAAACAAATCATTATGTTGTCATCCAGAGTCGCATTTATTTTCTAAACTATAGCACACAGTATTTTACGTACAGGAGGTTTTTAAAGGACCAAAGAGTTTGGTCTGCTTTGTGTTTTTCTTTTTTTTTTGCCATGGAACAAATCGTCCCAGCCCTACTAAATAGGGAGCAGGGTGCCAACTGAGAGGCTGCCCTAAACACAAGGGTTCTTGGCAGAGCAGAGTAGCCTTGGCCACTGTCCAAAACACGGTTGAATGAATGGGGAACTACTGGGGAGCAGCTGGTTCAGAACGAGATGTAATGGGCCATAAAGTGAGAGGATAGTATTTGTGAATGAATGGCAATTCATGGCAATCCAGGTATTTCAGTAGCAAAGAATGAATTAAAGGTTGGACATGGACTGAGAAAAAACACTTTTATAAGAGTTTGACTTAGCTGGGTAGCAGTGGGACTTAGCTGGGTAGCAGTGGGACTTAGCTGGGTAGCAGTGGGACTTAGCTGGGTAGCAGTGGGACTTAGCTGGGTAGCAGTGGGACTTAGCTGGGTAGCAGTGGGACTTAGCTGGGTAGCTAAGTAAATGAGAAAAAAGTGGAAATAGTACGGTTTGTCCATCTTGTCAGAATTAATCTAACTGAATAAATATTTTTTTGATCACAAAACCTTAAAGGAATATAACGAACTCTTTCTCCCCCTCCCCCTAATTCAAAGCGGTCTCTCAACTAGATAAAAGGCTGTTGGAGTTAATGGGTGTATCAACAATAGGCTACCTGTTCATTCTTTTCATTCCTTTTCATCTTTACTGCACCCTATAGAATTGCATTCCTCTTTGGTTCAAGGGTCAGGTGTCATTTAAAGACGGGTGGAGAGCCCGACTGGTTTGACGGCACGGTCTGTGAAAAGCCCAGCCGATGACAAAAGTGATTTCCAAATGAGAGGGTGGAGGATGGGTTTTCATTTTATAGCTTTTTACTCAATTAGATGATTCAAACCCAGATAAGCTATACATGTACCCTATAGCTTTTATAACCAGAGCCTTAACATGTATGTGTGGCTCAGGGTTTTAAATGTAAGGGCTGGTTTCCCAGACAGATTTTAGCCTAGTCCTGTTCTAAAAAACCTCTCTTAGTGGACATTCGCCGTGGAGCTTTTTAGACTTTAATCTGTGTCTTGGAAACGGGCGCTAGCATGTATTTAACTATGTTCATATTCATAAAGTAGGCTTGTTGTGCTTTTGCCACTTTTAATGTTACACACTCCTTTCTTTTAGATACTGTCTGCCTGTCCCCTGCTGGATCACACACACACACACACACACCACACCACACCACACCACACCACACCACACCACACACACACACCACACCACACCACACCACACACACCACACACACCACACACACCACACACACCACACACACACACCACACCACACCACACACACCACACCACACCACACACACCACACACCACACCACACCACACCACACACCACGTCCCCTTAACCAGGACCCACCACCCCTCCACACGAATCCCAGTGTGATTTTTTAAAATGTGGTTTAATCACAGACCCTGGACAGTAGTGGGCCCACTGCCCATGCTACTGGCTGACGTTTGCAACATGCTATATTTATGTGAGGTATTAATTCTAATAATTAAACATTGCTATCTGTTGCGCCCATGCAGTTTTTGAATGATGGTGGTTAG